CAAGTAGTCTGCATCTACCAACATGACTCAGACTAGAGGTTAGTGTCTCCTAGCACTGATGCCACGTTTTGGTTTGGCCACCCCTAATTCTCTTCCAACCATCTCTAACACCCGTTAGCATTGCACGACGTGGTAATCGGTGTTCACTCATACGTAACACGTGGTCCAACCATCTCAGTCGATGGAGATCCACAACCTCATCAACTGATTTAACATCATTACCTAATACCCTGCGTCTAACCTCACTATTGCTTACCCGGTGATCCCAACAGACGCCAGCAATATTTCTAAGGCATCTGTGGTCAAATATTAGTAGCTTACGGATGTCTTCTACTCTTAAAGGCCATGTTTTGTTGCCGTAAATTAAAACAGAATGGACTCGTCCTTTTATTGATAGACGGATATCTCGCCTTCGTCATAGGTGACATAAGTTGGCAAAAGCCAAGCGAGCTCTTCGGATCCGTGCTGAGATTTCGTCCGATATCAACCCATTAGGGCTGATCACACTTCCAAGATAAGTGAAGTTGTCAACGCGTTCGACTACTTCACTCCCTATCCTTAGTTCAGGTGTTGACGCAGACCAGTCTTGAAGCAACAACTTGCATTTAGAGGGAGAGAAGCGCATCCCAAACATTCTGGCATTGTTGTTTAGTGCTACCAGAAGACTCTGCATTTTGTCAGCGTCTTCACCAAACAGGACTATGTCATCTGCGTATTCTAAGTCGATAAGTGGACCTCCTGGAAGGAGATCAATACCCGAGAATTCAGTCGACGAGAATGTCATTTCCATCAATATGTCTATGATGAAGTTAAAAAAATGGAGAAATTTGAGTCTTCACGGACACCACTTGAGCTTGCAAAAACAGATGACAGTTCGCCATAAGCTCTGACTCGACTGGTAGTGTTCGAGTAAAGAGCCTTTACAAGGTTTATGTACTTCTGAGGTACGCCTTTCAATGACAGGGTATCACAGAAGCTCTCAGTCTACAGAGTCAAATGCTGTTTTTGATTCAAGAAAAACCATCGTTGTCGGACGTCGATAAGCATGCTTGTGTTCTAAAACCTGACGAATGGTGAATATGTGGTCGATGCAGCCACGACCAGGTCTGAAGCCTACCTGATTTTTTCGTGTTTGTAGTTCATGAGTCTTAGTTAGGCGTCTGATAATTATCGAAGCTAGTATTGTAGATACTATATTAGTTAAACTAATCCCTCTATGGTTGTCCCAAGATGATTTTGACCCTTTCTTATATGTTGGGACGATAAGTGATTGCGACCAGTCAGATGGGATAAAGTCTAATTCCCAGATCTTAGCTAAAATATTAGTCAACCTAATCGCTAAAATTGGACCACCATCCTTAAAGACTTCTGGAGCCAATTCATCTGGACCAGCTGCCCTTCCTCGTTTCAGATTAACTATAGCCTTTTGAACTTCTGCTAGAGTTGGAGGACCTACTTCAATGTTCCATTCACACTGTCTGGGAATGGAGGGTAGTTGTAGAGTCGCTGAAGGCCAGCTGGACTGTTCCCTAAAATGTTCCGCCCATCGTTCTAAACGTCTGGACTGGGAGCAGATGAGAGTGTCGTCTTTTTCCGAAATAATCTCACTTTTATTAGTCTGTAAAGCTGTCTTGTGTTCCCTATAGTCGCCGTCTTTTCCATCTCTTTTGCTTTCGTTACTCACCACTGCTCACGGTCGTTTCTTAGACTCTTGGTTAACCTAGATCTGATTTGTTGTCGCTCTTCATCATGTTCGGAACCTGATGGGACGAGTTTGCGAGAATCCATCAGTGTGATAGACTTTGAAGAAATCCACTGGTTCTTTGTAACTGTGTGGTTTAAGTCACTAATAGATTTCATTGCTGTTTCCACAGCTGTTTGTTTAACTTTCCAGGCAACATCTGGGTCAGCCTCGTTTTCAGAACTACCTAAGTGTGACCTCAGTTGTTCCTGGAACCTACTTTGGTTTTCTCGTTACTCAACTCAGTTCTAATTGGTCTTTTTAATGTGGTTTTTTGCGTCCAGTGAGGCGCAAGCAGATGCGTGCCCGTATTAGGGCATGGTCGGAGTCCAAGCAGGTACTCCAGAATGAGCGACAATCTTCTACCGACCCTCTCCAACGATGACTGATGGCAATATGGTCTATTTGAGTCCATCGTTGGTTTGGTGTAGGGGATCGCCATGTTAGACGATGTCTCTCCTTATGCTTAAAATTTGTGTTTGCTAAAAATAAACGATTGTCTGAGCATAGCTGCAGCAGACGATCACCATTATCTGTTCGTTGTGCCGGTATACTAAAATACTCACCTAAATGTCTTTCTGTTTGGTTTAAACTACCTATCTGGGTATTAAGGTCACCTGCTACAAGTACTATGTCTGAACGTTTAGCTTTCTGAAGAAGCTCAGATAGCTTTCTGTAAAATTCATCCCTCACATCATCTGAGCTGCAGTCAGTGGGAGCGTAGGCAGAAACGACAAAAAGGCAACGACGTGTGTCCCTGTCCTTCCGAGTTCTTACGTAGCCGTTCAGCCGAACAGCACATAGACGACTGTTGACGGGGATCCACTCTAACAGTACTTGTTCCGCCCTCATGCTTAGTGCTATCCCTACTCCTGTCAGTCCACGAGAGCTGGCCATTGGGTCACCAGATACACGGAGGGTGTATCTCGTTGGCTCTCTGTGTTGTCGAGGTGAGGTCAAGTGAATGTTCACACTGGGATCCTGTATGCGTGTTTCGGAGACACAGCATACATCAATGGTACGAGATTCTAGGATTCTAGCCAAGAAAGCCTGCTGACCAATTTGACATAGGGTGCGTACATTGAAGGCTCCAATGTGTAGTGTGGAGCGAGGTTTCAGTAGACCTGGGACAGTGTTTTGAGCACTAGAATCGTTGACAATGGTGACACTTGAGGGGGGAAGCCGAAAAAAGAAGTTTAGTGTTTGAAGTCGATGTAGGAGGAATAATAGGAATTGAAGAGAGAGGTTGATTAGAAATACAGTGGTCTTGAGTGCTGTTAGAGCTATGAGGGCCCACACCGTGGAAGGGTTTTTCTGAAGGTACCTGAAAAGGAAATCGGATTAGAAGTGGTCTTAGTGACCTGGGAGCGTGACCGCAGTGCCCAAGGTACAACTGCTTGAGGTCGGTCTCACACGAACTTTTTATGGGCAATTTTTGTGTTAGCTCCGTACTTGTTGAGACTTTACCGCCGGAGACGGATATCCGTGGGATAAGGCGAGGTGTGCATTTTTAGGGTCGACATTTACTAACCCCACCCCTCCTTGTGGGAAGGCGGCATCGCTGTTATGCTGGTTGTCTGAAGGAAACACCTTACTGCTGTCACACCTGTACAGTCAGCAGTACGACTTCGCCTTCGGACCTTGGGTTTGTTGCTTTTAGACTTACCGCTCTTCAACCGACCTTTCGGACGTGGTAGGACCTTGAGGAACAGTTGTTCCAGTCAGTATAGCTCGGTTGCTTCATCACGATAGGCAAGCCCGACCACCACGTCAAGGTAGCAACAACGGTCGGGAATGTAAATATTAAATATGTATATGTTCAGTTTTGCCTTTCTAAATTGTAGACCGCTTGAGAGCTGTCTATGACAGGGTAACATATTCATTATTAGTTATTATTAAACAACATTAGTTCTCTGCCTGCCTGGAATTACTACATGTTCACTTACTGAAGATATACGAAACTATGTACATATATGGTTGTAAGTATATAACGAATGGTGGAGGTACTTATATGTAAACATCTTGCATCATCCGTGACTACAAACCAATATTGTACATTTCTGTTGAGACAGTAATTTATAAGTAATTCCCAAAATTCAAATACCTGTAATATAAGACTTGACGTCCTTAATGTGTACCATGCACTGACCAAGTTATTTCACAATTGGACTCAACATAACATCGTCTTATGTGCTCCTCTCATTTACACCAAAATGTGCACATCCATAACTATTCTGGACTTTGAAATTCATGTTTATTCGTAAAATTTTCCTTTTTTAGATCATTCAGAGTACTGACGTATCTAGTAAGCGTATCTAGTCCAAAGAAAATATATTTTATCAGTAATGTTAACATGTTACTCAGACTACGTCAACTTTTGAGTTTTCACTTAAAATTCGCATACCCCATTGTTATAAGAAAAATAATCACTGACAATCTTCGGTTTGTTTACTTGACTTTCAACTATTAAATCACTGGTCGAAGTACCATTTGATTTACCAAAGTTTAAGCAATTGGATAATATAATTGGTCTTCACACATCAGGTATATCTAGCAGATTATTACGTAACTACTGAGATATTTCTTTGAAAAGTATACAAAAGTACAACATACGTCTCTTTCACATCTCAAGCCTAAAATGTAGTGACTTATGATGGGTGATTAAAAAAGTAACAGACAAACTTCATTAACAGTCAACATCTTGGATGCTACCTATTTAATAATTTCTAATCACATATTTAAGTTACAAAATGATCGTACTACCCATCTCAAACATTTGTACTAAGAAATCAATTTCTAACCTAGTCACTGAAGTTTTCGATACCAAATTTAATGACAAAATTGGTTGTTAAATAATTATTTCTACCGAAACGCTACTTATACTAAAGCACAGGGACTAAAGATGTTTTTAGTTTTTCCTGAGAGTACTATAGAGATAATATACTAATACGTCGGGGTCAGATTAAAAAATACTTCTTTTAATAGATGAAGAATTATCCATCTTCAATCACTAAACATCTCTGGTTAGTTGAGCATCATTGTTGGTTCACTATACAGGATTTATAGACTTTTGACTATCTACGACATTCTTTTGCAGAACAATCTCATCAAACTAATAAAAATGAAAGAACTGCACATGAATTATCTGTTTATTATTGTAACATAAAAACATTAATATAACATTAAATAGGATATTTTAATGAAACTCTATGATGCTGAATCAATATTCAGTGTTTATATTTCGCCTTTATGATTCTAGGGATTGGCAAATGAAGCGTGCTTTCCAAGCTTCCTTATATTTACATAATCCTAATGCCGTTATAATATTAGGAGATATTTTGGATGAAGGGAAATGGGCTACAAATGATGATTTCAGCCATTTGGTGGGAAGATTTCGCGATATTTTTCATCATGATAAAACGAAAACATTAGTTAAAACCGTTGTTGGCAATCATGATATCGGGTTTCATTATGCGTGCGTCATCTTTCTTAATTAATTGTTATGCAAAGTTTTTTTGTTTGCAAATATTTCTTATCGCATCGTACGTAAGGTTAGTTACAATACTTGTCAGTTGTGTAGTCAATGTTTTAAATCCAATGAACCCTGTATTCAAACTACCAATCCCTTTAATTTTTATTGGTATGAAAATACCTTGAATATGACAGCATCAAACAATACCGACTTCTAGATTTGCTTCTACCTTGCTTATACTAAAGATAAACAAAGGACAAGACGATAATCTTTATTTATTTGTTTATTTGAACACATAAATATTGGTACAAAGGGCCACCGAATATATATGCACTGCACAAGTCGCTTGATTTATGTGTGGGATGTGATACCGCCCGGGTGCCCAAACCGAAGCAGGTGACTTTCTTAGGGGACCACACCCCGAGCCTTCGAGCTGAAGGTCTAATCCACATGGCAATGGAGCAACTTTAGGAGATGCAGTCCCATGGTAGCCGATGACCAACAATTGGTGCATATGCCATTTGTTCCCTCAGGATACTAGAGCCCATGTGCACCATTGGTTTGGAATCCGGTTAAGGCGCCAGACATTCGCTTTTCGTCCTCTCATTTTCGTAAAGAACAACCCCTCCACGAGAAGGCAATGAGTAGGACTTCCCTGGCAGAGGCTGTATACGCGTGGCCGTGTGAGAGCATTTCGAGAGGGAGAGCGGACTCTCCATTCTCGACCGTATCAGGGCATTTGGGAGCACAAGATGACAATGGCTGCGAGGTAAGGTATATTTGATTGTATTGGATATATAGAGAAAATAAAACTTATAAAATAGCTATTTATAGTAGGAGAAGCATTTTACGTCAAACTATGCCATAATTTGATGATAACACTTGGTCAAGATCCTTCAGCTGGTACTGTCCATTTAAACTAATAAGTTCAGAATCGATGCCGAATGCTTACCTCTTCAGACGCCTCAGGCAATTTTAATCGTCTTAAAATACGTGGTAACTCAGTTGAAGAAAATCTGAACACCAATTAAACTTTAAATATTTCCTATGATTTTACTAGCTTATCTCACACAATTTGTATTTCTGTGTGATTTCAAATTTACTGCTGCTGTGTCAACGTAGAATTTGATCAAGATGGTAAAAAAATTCGTTTTCTTATTTAGCACTAATGAGTTTTTGAATAATCGATTTCACCGGGATGTTGGAGACAATATTTATACACCGCCTATTTATCTGTGGTCCTTCTTTGGCATCCATTTCGTTATTGCAAACAGTATCGCTTTTGAAGGTGACAATTGTGATTTATGCTTTGAAGCCAATTTCATATTAAAATCAATTGCGAGATATCTTGATTGTTTGAAGATATCTACTCCATCTAATACCAAGAGTTGTTATTCCAAGGAACTTGGTATGGGCCTTTCTGACAAATTCCCATACATTGATGTTGATCTTAATGGTAGGTTAACACGAACTTATCACTCATGATTTAAGTAGTTTAGATTATGAAGCGTACACCTCTTTAAAGATATCATTCAATTATAAAGTTCATTTTGAGTCTACCTAAAAGCAGTTTTACATTACTTCTGTTTCTAAACTTACCAATTTAAAATACTCATCAATAGTTTGTTATGACAAGGCTTTCCGATTGTTCATTACTTCTGGTTTTTCTGTGGTTAAGCTTAAATCACTATAAATTTTTAGTTATTGAAAATGTATTCACCATATAAGATCACCTGTTGATCCTTACAATCCAGTGGCAGTTTTTGTCTTCGATTTACTTATATTTATTATTTGCGCGACTTTCTGACCAGAGCACTCACCTATGCCTGTTACCCCTCGTGAAGAAGCATGGGTCGCCCACCAGCATTCTTCATCGAACTCTGTCCTGGACAATCCTTCCCGGTAGTTTCCAGTTGTTATTCATCCTTTTCATATCTGCTTCTAAATTCCGACGCAGTGTGTTCTTTAGTCTTCCTCTTTTCTGTTTCCCTTTAGGATCCAAGTTAGCACTTGTTTCGTGATTCAGTTTGATGATTTTCACAACGTATGTCCTATCCACTTCCATCATCTCTTCTTAATTTCCTCTTGTTTGTTGTTTTGAGTTCCAGATCTTTTTCAACTGTAGGAATGTCGCTCTCCCTTTGCCAAGCCTCACCTTTACATCTGCATCGGATCCTTCTTGTTTACAGATGATGCTGTGCACCTGTTCCAGAGCTCCTTCATCAAGTATGATTGGTTTGGTGTTCTCTGTGTTGATTTTCAATATCTTGCTTTTTCCCTTGTGTATGTTGAGGCCTACTGATGCAGAGGCTTCTGCTACACTGTCTGTCTTCACCTGAATTTGTTCGTGTGTATAAGATAGAAGAGCTATGTCGTCTGCGAAATCCAAATCGTCTGGCTGCATCCAAGCTGTCTATTGTATTCCATGCTTACTCCAGATATAGAGGTCTTCATAATCCAGTCGACCACCAGAAGAAAGAGAAAGCGGAGACTAAGCATACTTTTCTGACTGGTCCTCAATTGGAATGCATCTATCACCTTTCCTCCATGCACAACTTTGCAGTGAAGTTCGTCGTATGAATTCCGGATGATGTTAACGATCTCCTCAGGTACACCATAGTGTCGAAAAAGAGTCCGTAAGGTTCTCCTATCCATGCTGTCAAATGCTTGCTCGTAGTCATGGAAGCTGATATATAGTGGTGAGTTCCATTCAATTGATTGTTCAACGATGATCCGTAGTGTTGTAGCTTGGTGTCTGCACGACTGATCCTTAAGGAATCCGGGATGTTGGTCTCGAAGCTGGTAGGCGTCGACTGAATCTTTCATTCGACTCAACAACACTCTGTTGAAAGCGCTTCCTGGTGCCGACAGTAGTGTGATGCCTCCAAAGCTGAGTTCTCATACTCGCTGAGATCTTCTTCATTGATTTATTGACGATGTATCCTTCGTCCCAGTTTAATTGGTAGGTCTTCTTGAACTCCCAGCGTTGGAGGTCGGTTTAATGGTTTGGAGATTGTGTCCGCACTCAAGTGGAAACACTGGGTTCGAGTCTCAGATGCAGGGTTGTGAATGGTCACTGGTAAGTAGTCCTAGACTAGGGTAAAATGGTCGACTGGTACTTCCATGTTTTCAATGGCGGTCTTAATATGATCAATGAGCAAGCTGACAAGTGAAATAATTCTTTTGAAACACAAAAATTACACAAAATATTCAATACATTGGTGTAACATACCATGTTAAAAGATCTAGAAAGGCCCCAGACGACAAGTCAGATAGATTTGGTAATGGTTGTCCACAAACCAATGAAGAAAAAAACCGATAAACCTGTGCATAAGGTAAATATATAGGGTCTGGATCTCTTTTATTGACTTTACGACATTCTACACTTTCCCACGTAGAAGCTCGCTGGAGAACCTGAAATATGTTACAAGAGGATTTCACAATACTAGTTATGAATACATTATGACTAATGACTTCTTACGGCGACTTTAATGTCTTACCCCTACAATTCATATCTGCTTCTAACTTCCGACGCAGTGTGTTCTTTAGTCTTCCTCTTTTCTGTTTCCCTTTAGGATCCAAGTTAGCAGTCAGTCAGTCAGTCAGCTACAACGTAGGACCAGGCACATATGTGCATCGGTCCAGGTTGCCATACCTCATTAGCACAGCAAGATGAACACCGGATTCATAGGAGTGGTTAGGTCAAAGGTTGCAATAAGGATATAGTATAGGAAGAAAGAATTAGTTCGTAGACAGAAAGAATGAAGTGATTTTAGTCTCTTAGTTTAAGGGAAGACAGGGAATGTATACACCGACGCCATTGTGATCGATTTCGAGCCATGTCACCAAGAGTCTCCAACCATTGGTTACGATAGTCACGTGGACCCCAATCAAGTAGTCTGCATCTACTAACGTGGCTCAGACTAGAAGTTAGTGACTTCAGGCACTGATGCCACGTTTTGGTTTGGCCGCCCCTAACCTTCTTCCAACCATCCCCTACCCCGGTTAGCATTGCACGTCGTGGTAATCGGTGTTCAGGCATACGTAACACGTGGCCCAACCATCTCAGTCGATGAAGATTCATAACCTCATCAACTGATTTACCATCATTCCCTAATACCCTGAGTCTAACCTCGCTATTACTTACCCGGTGATCCCAGCAGATGCCAGCAATATTTCTAAGGCATCTGTGGTCAAATACTAGTAGCTTACGGGTGTCTTTTACTCTTAAGGGCCATGTTTCGCTGCCGTAAATTAAAACAGAACGAACTGCCGCGCAGTATACTCGTCCTTTTATTGATAGACGGATATCTCTTGGCTTCGCCAAAGGTGACGCAAGTTGGCAAAAGCCAAACGAGCTTTTCGAATCCGTGCTGAGATTTCGTCCGATATCAACCCATTAGGGCTGATCACACTTCCAAGATAAGTGAAGTTGTCAACGCGTTCGACTACTTCACTCCCTATCCTTAGTTCAGGTGTTGACGCAGACCAGTCTTGAAGCAACAACTTGCATTTAGAGGGAGAGAAGCGCATCCCAAACATTCTGGCATTGTTGTTTAGTGCTACCAGAAGACTCTGCATTTTGTCAGCGTCTTCACCAAACAGGACTATGTCATCTGCGTATTCTAAGTCGATAAGTGGACCTCCTGGAAGGAGATCAATACCCGAGAATTCAGTCGACGAGAATGTCATTTCCATCAATATGTCTATGATGAAGTTAAAAAAATGGAGAAATTTGAGTCTTCACGGACACCACTTGAGCTTGCAAAAACAGATGACAGTTCGCCATAAGCTCTGACTCGACTGGTAGTGTTCGAGTAAAGAGCCTTTACAAGGTTTATGTACTTCTGAGGTACGCCTTTCAATGACAGGGTATCACAGAAGCTCTCAGTCTACAGAGTCAAATGCTGTTTTTAAGTCAAGAAAGACCACCATCGTCGGACGCCGATAGGTATGCCTGTGTTCTAGAACCTGACGAATGGTGAATATGTGGTCGATGCAGCCACGACCAGGTCTAAAGCCAGCTTGGTTCTCTCGAGTTTGTAGTTCACGAGTCTTAGTTAGGCGTTTGATAATTATCGAGGCCAGTATTTTAGATACTATGTTTGTTAAACTAATCCCTCTGTGGTTGTCACAGGATGATTTTGACCCTTTCTTATATGTTGGGACGATAAGTGATTGTGACCAGTAAGATAGAATAACGTCTAACTCCCAGATCTTAGCTAAAATATTAGTCAACCTAATCGCTAAAATTGGACCACCATCCTTAAAGACTTCTGGAGCCAATTCATCTGGACCAGCTGCCCTTCCTCGTTTCAGATTAACTATAGCCTTTTGAACTTCTGCTAGAGTTGGAGGACCTACTTCAATGTTCCATTCACACTGTCTGGGAATGGAGGGTAGTTGTAGAGTCGCTGAAGGCCAGCTGGACTGTTCCCTAAAATGTTCCGCCCATCGTTCTAAACGTCTGGACTGGGAGCAGATGAGAGTGTCGTCTTTTTCCGAAATAATCTCACTTTTATTAGTCTGTAAAGCTGTCTTGTGTTCCCTATAGTCGCCGCCTTTTCCATCTCTTTTGCTTTCGTTACCCACCACTGCTCACGGTCGTTCTTTAGACTTTTTCTTAACCCAGATCTGATTTGTTTTCGCTCTTCATCATGTTCAGGACCTGATGGGACGAGTTTGCGAGAATCCATCAGTGTGATAGACTTTGAAGAAATCCACTGGTTCTTTGTAACTGTGTGGTTTAAGTCACTAATAGATTTCATTGCTGTTTCCACAGCTGTTTGTTTAACTTTCCAGGCAACATCTGGGTCAGCCTCGTTTTCAGAACTACCTAAGTGTGACCTCAGTTGTTCCTGGAACCTACTTTGGTTTTCTCGTTACTCAACTCAGTTCTAATTGGTCTTTTTAATGTGGTTTTTTGCGTCCAGTGAGGCGCAAGCAGATGCGTGCCCGTATTAGGGCATGGTCGGAGTCCAAGCAGGTACTCCAGAATGAGCGACAATCTTCTACCGACCCTCTCCAACGATGACTGATGGCAATATGGTCTATTTGAGTCCATCGTTGGTTTGGTGTAGGGGATCGCCATGTTAGACGATGTCTCTCCTTATGCTTAAAATTTGTGTTTGCTAAAAATAAACGATTGTCTGAGCATAGCTGCAGCAGACGATCACCATTATCTGTTCGTTGTGTCGGAATACTAAAATATCCACCTAGATGCCTTTCTGTTTGGTTTAAACTGCCTATCTGAGCATTAAAATCACCTGCTACGAGTACTATGTCTGAACGTTTAGCTTTCTGAAGAAGTTCGGACAGCTTTCTTTAAAATTCATCCCTCACATCATCTGAGCTGCAGTCAGTGGGAGCGTAGGCAGAAACGACAAAAAGGCAACGACGTGTGTCCCTGTCCTTCCGAGTTCTTACGTAGCCGTTCAGCCGAACAGCACATAGACG